AGCGTTTTTAACGTTATTTCAAAACTGCGCATTTTTCTTGGCTAATAAAGTGCTACCATGTTGCATGAGATGCTCTGGTTTCTCTGTGTTGAACTCCTGAAAAACGGGACTTTCATTAAATTTGCTTTGCTATAAGGAGTGCACTTTGAGTAAGCTATGTGCTCATCAGTTATGATGTAATACTAAGTGGGAAATCTTCAGAAAAGAAGAAAAAATAACTATAGAGGTTAATGAATTGACATTCGTGTCACACTTACATTAGATGTGAGAAAACTGAAAACTATGACAGCATTATTTTCCTATGCTAGGCTGGGGGATTTTAGTTAGGATGACTCCTGTCGAGAAAATGTAACGCTTAGTAGAAAAAAAGGAAAAGAAAATGATGAAATACTAGAAGGAATATTAGGGTTTTCTTTTTCATTTCAATATATTTGTCTGCTTGATGGTATTTATTTTCCTAATGGCACAAGTACAAACATGATTACTGTTACAATTAATTTTTAAAATTCCATATTTCACCTCAACTCACGAATTGCAAAGCTAAACAGTAACAAAATAAATAACGGAAAAAAGGCAGGAGAAGAAGGAAAGCGTGTGGTTTCTACAGGAACTTCTAAATTTCCACTTTCTTTTTTAATATTTCACCACTTTTTAGAGTGCATTGAATTGCCACACGGTCTTTCAAATTCTCTGAAGCGCTCACATGTAATAGACCTTGTTCCAACGACAAGAGACTAACGTGACCTGTGCTTGGAAACCCAGAGCATTCAAAGTCCTGCCCCTGAAAATGAAAGGTTGCCTCCTCCTATAGTTCCATTACACTTGGCTTTGAGTGTCTTCTTATTTCAGCTTGCCAAATAAAATCAAAAAAGGAAAAAAAAAATATCATGGACCACTTTTCATAGCCCAAGTTTAACAAGGTATGAAAAGGAATACATTTTTTTTCTCCAATTTTTTAGTTTCCTGTTGACTTTTCAGTTACATCATGCCCTTGAATTTGTTGCAGAGAAGTTAAATGCAGTAACTGGACAGGGACAGAGCCACTGAATGCAGTGGCAGTCCCAGATCAGACTGGTTTCACATACCAGCTTGCCTGGCCTGTCACCAGCAGCTGCCATCAGCCCTTTGAACTGGGATCCCAAAGTTTTGAGTATTTCCCCAGCTTAGGTTATTAGTTTTCTGGGCTGCACTGGACTGTGACTGTCCTCTTCTCTGTTCCCACTCCTCTAGCAACGGAGTTACTGTGCACGTAATGCAGACGATGGTATGACCTTGGCAGCGGTAAGAGGGTGTCCACGTATGTATGGACATGTCTTTACACATGTGGTGTGTAAGGAGATTCACCAGGTGGCTGGCATACAGCAGTTTTTTACCTTGAGATAGAATGAGAATCCTACAAGTGACTCAAACAGGTAGCAGACATAAATGAGAGTTAAGAGCCCAAGAGTTTCCATCAACAGTGATGCATTAATTAGTTAATCACAGCTAAGGTATTTACCTCAAGTAGGTATATCCCTAGTATGAAAGTGTGCCTACGGAAGGAGCACAGATATTTCAGTAACAGGTCAAGGGAAGGACAGAACAGAGAGGCACGGTGGAAACATCTCACTGAAGCTTTCTGAACTGCAGTATGGGATTTGTCCCTAAATCTCTACTCTTTCTTTGCCCACAAATCTTAATTTCTTTTCCCTCCAGTATTTAGTACCCAGCTCCACAACAACATTATTCTAAAGGTTTTCTGAAAGGTGAGGTTGTATGAAAAGGCTCCTCTAAGTTAGCTTGTGGGTGTCCATAGGAAACATAGCGTTAACAGCCACTGCACCTCGAGCACGGCAACCTCCTGCCCGTTTCGAAGCAGCCGGAAGGTCAGGGGATGCTTGGAATCCAGCCCTGGAATGACCTCGCAGCCGCGGAGAGGGATGGAAACTATGTGGGTCTTCAGATCTGTCCTGTCCTTGTGGAAAATGAGCTTATTGTCTTTCACTCTGCACCAGCGCTCACGCCAGCGGTTATTTGAGAGCACGTTGAGATATCCTGCAATAAAATGAAACGGGAGATATTTGATTTTGGTAACTGTGGCTGCCCAAAATTTTCTAGGGGAAACCAATCACAGCTGTTAATATATGATTTGGTGATGAGCTAGTTCCTGTTAATATCGAAAATCAGTTTCTTAAAGACCGAAACTTCACCCACTCAACGCCAATCCCTTCTGCTTTGCCAGGAGGAAGAGACTAGCGTAGGCAGCTTCTCATGTTGATTATCCCATTCTAATTTCATTTAGAAAGAAGAATGCACCTCGCATTTGCAATCTGCAGGAGCATTTTTAAAACAGAATTTAACAGATCCCTATTGATGCCAATGACAATTTAAAAAATATCGTTTTAAAAATCAAGAAGCAAATATATATGAAATTTAGCTAAACTTTACAACTAAAGCTTTAAATAAATTTTTTTGTCTCACAGGTAATATGCTACCCTTATAACAAATCAAAATTTCACAAATAAATTGCCTTTAAAAAAAACCCTACTCTTCTTATGTTTACAAACACAAGGTCTAGGCAAAAAATGTCAGTAAATGGACAGTGTTTTTCCTCCTCTGTCCCACAGCAACCGTCATCCCAGACTCAAACTTTAAAATCAAGACAATGCATAATTTTGCTGCCTCATTTAGTTTGGAAATTTAAAAAAAAGATTGTTTCATTTCGGTTCCCCATTACAAATGGTACATGAATTCAGCATGTTGATGTGCCGTAATATCTTGCACGGGCCAGGATTTATATAAAATATTTATCTTTTTTCTCATGTCTGATCTTTATTTAAGCGCTTAATCATGCTGGACAGCTATCTCCTTGGTTTTCATTAAAACTATGACTTGTCATCTATTTTTTCTGGATTTCCCTTCCAACATTATGGTTCCAATCTCAAAGCTTGATCCAACAGGATATGGCAGATCAGAAGTGTGCACATCCTGGAAGGTGCCATAAAAAAAGGAGGAGGATGTGCATAATCCTGTGATTCTGGCTCCTTGCGATGATCAAATTCTCCAGCTTTCCTCCCTCCTCCTACAACAAAACCTGCAGAGCTGTGCATTAAAACAACATAATCCCGAGAAATGCAAAAGCCTTCACGTGCAAGCCAGCTGGCTTGTTTTGGAGGGATAGTTCCTTTTTTTTCAGACAATTTCTTTTTCCTTCTTCTCCCACTGCACCTCTCAGACAAGCACTTCCAGGCCCTCATACTTCATCTGAATTAAGTAGGACCCCACGCTTTTCCTCCCAAACATCCCTACTTAAACCTTCAACAGCTGATGTGCCCAGCACGCCTTGTGTGTGTTCCCAGTTGGGGCATTAGCAGTTCAGCTTAGCCCAGGCAGCCAAAGAGAAATGCTGCTGTGTGAAGAGTCTTCCTTGAGACTCAGGGCGCAGGTGGGTTTCCATTTCCATTCCGGCTGTGTGTCCCCTGCAGACCCCGCCATGCCTTTCCCTTTGTTCTTGGGAGGCAGCGCACTAACGGGAAAAGCCCTTAACTATGGAGCAACCTCCCAGAGGGCATTGCACTGAGTCAAATTTCTGATCTTCTGCAGAGACTTCCTGCAATGACCAAAGCCTAGGAACTTACATATTTTTCTATAAAACCCGCAAGTGGTGTTGAGTAGAGCCAAACGCAGACAATAGTAATGGCTATATTTATGCCCAGATCCTAGATAATGATAGAAATACTATGAATTGGGTTGTACAGCTGTGGTTAACGTCTCACATAATACAGAATAATCAACAGACTATGAGACCCAAGAAGTTCAAGCTTTTAGGGAAGCCAGATGCTTCAGAAGTCACATCTGGCTGGACACAGCTTTTCCCAGCTGTTCTTTCGGTTAATAAATCACATCTCTACTTAGCTGATGCATAGACATGTACATGCACGCTTATTTAAGCAAAGATTGCTTATGTGAATGATTCCCAAACTGTGGCTTGAGAGCCACCTGTGATCCGTGAAGTTCTCGCTGGTGCTCCACGGATCTGCTTTTCTCACACGGGAAAACATTTATTGTGCTTCATGCAACCAAGAGTTCTGGCAGCTGCTGTCTAATCACAGCTTTCTGGGTTTCCTGAAGTTTTCCCAGTCAATTAAAAGGGAAAAGCTAATCCCTGACTTTATACAGAATACTGTGCAACCGCTTCACAGCTTTCTTTCCACAGGATTTCTTGGGGGTGGATGGGTTGGCAGAAGGGTGGGTTCAACCTTGTTCACATATGGAAGTGTTAGTTAATACTGGAGCATCAGAAGGCATATCAGGGAATGTAGCTACGTTGCATTGTTTGAAAACACCAGAGCTGTGACAACACCAGCTATACGTATTACGCAAAGTCCTGAATAGTGGGCAAACATTAACAGCTAAGATGCAAAACGTAAGCAAGAAGGTTATCATATTTTCTGCATGCCTTTAAATATACGTTCTTGCTGTTACCAAGCACTACAGTTGTCTTAAGGTTTCTTTAACATCAGTAGTTGAAATAGTCTACAAGAAATTTGTTTCGCCCAATATGTATCAGTTTAGGAACCCAGAACTAATGGGATCACTTTGGCTGCGGCTGGTCCACCGCTGTCATGATTGCCATCACGTATAACCTCAGTAAGATCCAGCATAAAAGCACCTCTGTTCACAAGAACTGTTTTCTATTTTCAGCCTACATTTATTTTATAATCCAGCCTATATTCATTTTATGTCCGTTAGTTTGGAAATTATCCTTGTGTTTTAGTAGCTCCTGTTTCTTTCTGCTGTTGGTCCACATTTCTCCTCCCCGCCACCTTCCCTGCAGAGAGCAGTGATACTCTTTCTTAGCCTATGCTATCATTGTGCAAGAGAGACATGGCACTACTGGAGAGAGTCCAGTGGAGGGCTACCAAGATGATGAGGGGACTGGAGCACCTCTCCTGTGAAGAAAGGCTGCGAGAGCTGGGCCTGTTCAGTCTGGAGAAGAGAAGACTGAGAGGGGATCTCATCAGTGTCTACAAGTATCTGAAGGGGGGGGGGGTCAAGAGGATGAGGCCAGACTCTTCTCCGTGGTGCCCAGCGACAGGACAAGAGGCAATGGGCAGAAACTGAAACACTGGCACATGCTGCATCTGAAATGAGAAAAAATTTCTTTCCTGTGAGGGTGACAGAGCACTGGACCAGAGAGGTAGTGGAGTCTCCTTCCCCAGAGATATTCAAAAGCCGCCTGGACGCAATCCTGGGAAATATGCTCCAGAGGACCCTGCTTGAGCAGGGGGGGTTGGACCAGATGATCTCCAGAGGTCCCTTCCAACCTTGGCCATTCTGTGATTCTGTGATTTTATTAAATAATTCAAGCTCTTTAAGTCCCTTCTCAAATGACAAGCTCTTGATTATTCTGCCCCTCTTTCACTCTGAGTGCATCTTTCTGATGTTGGGGTAACAATCAAAGCAGATAAACATATATGAATTTCTAGGCTACAATTTTATAAAGTTTTAGTTGCAAAGTGCATGTAAGACTCAAAGAGAAAAATCTCTTACCACATGTTGGAACATCTTCTTCAGCTGATGAGGTCTGCTCATCTGTTGATGGCTTTTTCTTTCCTAAACCGATGATCTTGGTTATTTTTTTCCCTGTTACTTTAGTCACTGTGCCCTTGGCCTCTGATTTTGAACTTTTTTTCCTTTTCACTGTAAAGGAAGCAAAAGTGTACATTTTAGTGTGTTTGAATAAACTGATGAATAGGGAGAACCTGAATTAAAATGACAGTTCAAACAAACAATCCTCTGCAAAATGCACATTCAGAGTAAAGTTGCAGTCTGTAATGAGATACACATTTATATGCCCTCGTTAATACTGATACCTATAAATACCTTTCATCCTATTGAAAACATGGCATATGAAAGGACAAGGAAAACAAAAAATTAGGCTTGTGTTTTATCTAATCTACTCAATCTGAAAGACTCTTTCCAGAGCAGTCATCACCTAATTTATCAGCATAATTAATCCACCTGTATGTAAATTACTTATTTACCTCATATATGTAAGAATAAAAATCCAATTGGATGATCATTCATTGGTCCCAAGCATTTATCTCAAAACACTTCAAGGATTAAGTATTTAACAAATGGCTTTGCCATTTACATTAGGTTAAGGTAATCACAGTGGGCCTTGTGGAAAGACAAGTAGTATATTCACATAATCATTTTTCATGTAAAAAAAGTAGCTATTAACAATTAAATTAGTGGGAACAGGACAATGATTAGAAGTCAGTACTTTTTACGATCATGCAGACTTAAAAGGAAAAGCTGCACAGAAAGAAGAGACTCTGCTAATATCCAGTTCAGGTTTTCATAAACTTAGTATGTTACTTGCAACATTCTGGCTCTAGGCCCTGAGGTATATTGAATTACTGAAGGTAACAGGGCCAAGACCGGGGACAAAATTTTTGCAAATGCCTAGCTGACTAAAATCCTAACTAACTCATTGAAAAGAAAAAAAAAATGCTAAGAGTAAATAGAATCAGAAAGAAACTTATTTGCAAAACAGAACAAATGAAGTGAACTTCATTTCAGAAAAAAAATTCAGATAGTGGTCTGGATTTCATCAACAGAGCTAAAATCGGTTTGTTAAATGACCGAACTGTTACTGAATTTATCCAGGAACTTAACCTGATTTATGATTTTGATGAAAAATACAATAGGACTTGTTACTGTGACTGAGTGGCTATTAAGTTTTGCCCTGACAGAACAATTCCCTTTGCACTTCCCCCCAGAATATTTAGCAGTTGTGGACTTGAGCAGAAGCGAGTTAAAAAAAGGACAAAATGTTTACATGAAAAATGATTATGTGAATTGATGAACTGGGATGAAGCATGCTCTGAAAACAGGAACGGTTTGGAAGCCGCAGTGGCATAATTTGTCATATTTAGTTTAATTGTCAGCAAACTTGGAAAATCATTAGAAAGTGTGCCTGCAGCTAAGCAAGACTGGACAAATCTGTCACCTGCCACATGCAGTTTTGAGGTGGGGGGGGAGGCTGGTTTTCAGGTGCAGACTGCAGTTAATCAGCAAATAGCAATATAGCAATTAGTGTGTGCAAGCAAAAGTCATAGTTTCTCCTTCCTGAAGGATGGTTGTTCACAGCTTTTTTGGTGCTCTCCAGACATGCAAGGAGCTCCCAGGCTCTAGGGAGGAAGGACAGCCCAGTGCTCTTCACCCTCCACCTGTGAGAGCCCCTGAAGGCAGCACTTGGCTGGAGATGGGTTTTTGGCCCGCTCAGCCGCAGCCTAGGGACATCCACAGCTGCAGCGTGGAGAAGAGAAAAGTGTCTATGTGTATTGCGGTTTGGGAATAAATTCCCATGCTCCCTGCAGGCCAAAGAGAATCGATCTTTCTAAGAGGGACAGACAACCAAAGGAGGCTTTCTCATGGCCATGCACAGCCAGGGGAATTAGCCCGTTCTTATACGTCCTGTCTTTCATTTGCATGTTTTTTTTTATTCTGCCGTAGAAGAGAGAGGCAGCAGAAATGAGGCCTTTATGACTTCATCTTTGGGAGTCTAGGGAATACACTTATTGCCCAATTGTAAGAGATTTTTGTCAAAAAACCCTTTTCTTCTCATTTCCTTCCCCACAGCAAAACAAGAAGCTGGTTAAGGGCAGAGTGAAGGCTGGCCTGCGGGTAAAGTGTGTCGATAACACTCTGTGCACAGAGTCTCTCTTCCCATGTACAGCTAAGTGAGCTCCCATAAGTGTTTCCTTTCTACTGTTTAAAGCCAATTCAAAATATTGTTACCTCATCCAGAACCACTTAACGCGATGCCGAGCATATTTTAATCTCCTTGCAGTCAGTCATTAATGCCTATTACTATTATTACCATACAGTTGAAGGTCAAGGTTTTCAAAAGCAACTGCTATTTTTAATTACCCTACTTGAGACATCTTAGGATGTGCTGGTTTTCCAACAGCGTACGCTCCTTCAAAATGCCTCCAGCTGGGCACCTGAGTCACCAGGCACTTCTGGAGATCCCGGACAGCAAAGCTGCAGCTTTTGTTTCACAGATGTGCTCAGCAGGTTTCAGCACTAAAAACTGTACCGCGATTTGTTTTTGAAAGCTTAGTGGAAGATTTTATAGTGCAAAAACTAACCATATACTGCAACTTCTAGAAATCACAATAACTGACCATGTTTCAGGCTCTTGGGTACGTCACAGAGATCTGCGTGTTCAGGAAATGTTGGAAGAGGATACAAGGAGAAGGAAAAGGAACGGAGTCAAAGGGAGAGACAGCACTGGCACCAACGCCAGTATCGACACATTCTGCTCACTGCAGCTCACATTACCCTTCCTCCCCAAAATGGAAGAAATCCCACGTGGCCAAGAGGAAGGGTAATGGGCCTATAGTGCTTGCCCAAGCTCCCCTGAAACGGAGTGCAATTCTGGACTCAGGAAAAAAGCCAAGTCAAAATTTCTATATTCTACGTCCTTACACTAATTATATTTGTTTTACCTGCACAATAATAACACTGAATGACTTCTGTCACTGCAAAGTTTTAAGGAGTCATACTGGACATAATTTAACTTTCAAGTTAAATAGAATACTAATAAAAATATTTAATGGCATTATTACCTATTTATTTAAAAACATAAATGCCAAACCTCTTCTGCTTCCTATCTTCCTTCTCTCTCTCTCTATGCACATATTATTTACACTAAGCACCTCTGCCTCTGAGACGTACCTTGCTCCTTGCCGTTGCACACCGTAGCGATGCCGTTTTCCACAGCACCTTCCCCATCCGAGCTCGGCCTCTCAGACGACAACTTCTGCATGGGCAAAGAGATTAGTTGATATATCATGTGGTCACCTGAGCCAAAAGCAGTATCATGAGCCCATTTAAAATTATGCTTACTATGAAATAAAACACATTTCAAGCTCTCATCCACTTGGGAGACAAACAGAAGACAGTCAAAAGCTCAGTTTTAGAGGAGTTTTTTTACAGTATTATATAAGCTTTAGAAAAGTACCGTTGAAAGCCTAACCACACATTAAGTCTACATTTGATAGTATAATCAAAACATTTTAAGTTAGATAGATAATCGTAATTCAAAAGATGTTATTACACACAACGTATTCGTAATGCATTTCTAGACTCTGCAATGTTGCTGTTTCTTAATCTGCCAAAGAGTGATAAACAATTACATGGATCAGATAAAACAAACTTTAAACCTATTTCTTTAAAAAATACTTCAGATATGCATATACAATTACAACATACCAGAAAACGATGCATTCCTACATGGTGTAGGAATCAATATTTGCAAAGAAGATATTTATGAAATAAATTTTTAGCACCAATTGTTCCGTAATGGTTGGGTAAGAAATATGGGATGATGTGATATGAAGTTTATGCTGACACAGTTGTGGTAACCACATTCATTACTCATGAGTAGTGAAGCCATGAAGAAGATATGCAGATTATCCCCCAAAAAACCAATGAGAAGTTTTGTTATACGACATCATCTTTTTATGGCATGCGCTTCAGAAAGTAACTCTTCTATGACATTTTTAGTTACTTGGTTAATAATGTGCAGATGTGCAGAAACACACAAATACACCAGCTTGTGGCCTGTGAAATCAGAATATCTGAGCTATCATGGGACATATTTTGCTTAGTTTCCTGGGTATAACACAATATAATACTACTGAGAGCCACGTCTTTACATCAGAAGGGCAGAATTTTGAACAGGAGTTTTGAAATAAAATCTTTGTCAGCAGGACTTTTAAATAGGGCCTTCAGTAAGGTCTGTGCACATGGATGCCTTTGCAGAGTAAAGGTTTAAACAGGAGCCAGAAATGTACTGTTCATTCACTGCAAAGATACTGTCCTTTCTTATTCTTGCTCAAATATCTTGCTGAGTCAAGGGAGCTAAGACAACCATGGCCGAATAGCCAAGTTCCTCCGTGTTACGGCACGAACGCTTGGAAGGGTCTGCCAAAACAGTGACCTCAACAAGCCCAGGGAGCTCTTTAAGAACTAAATTCTCAACAAAAAAGGAAAAGCCTTTCCCTGAAAACTTCCACGTAGTCTCCAGCGATTCTTCCGTGAGCATCACATCCCTGCCTGTTCATCCCTGCCTGGCTTGACAGAGAGCCATCTCCGCGCCACAGCTCGCACTTCGTATGCACTTAGTGTGCATGAATTTAAAAAGAAGCTGCTAATGGGTATAAGCCAATCTGCTGTTTTTTCTTGACCAAATCAACAGAAGATGGCAGAAATTTCACATCTGTAGGATCTGTGCAGAAATCCAAATAAATGAAAAGGACAAACGGGCTAAACAGTAGCACAAGTCAGCAGATATTTGCTGAAAATATCCCCCCAAAAATGGTGTAACAAGATAAAGTTAGTGCACCAAATCCAGAAACTAAATTTAACTTCAACTTTGTGATCTGGACACCCCCGGAGCCCTGTGGTGTTTAGTGGTGCCCCATAATAAATAACCATACGGAATTTTGCGTTAGTCCTTCTTGGCAACTTCACCTTTTCCAGTTCTGTCTTGTGCACCGGAGAACTAGACAATGGCCCATCTGAGTCCACAGCTCCAGTGCAGTTGCTGCACACATCTTTTATAACCTTAAAAGACAAGGTAAAATGTATTAATTAATCAACAAATGCAAATCAGAGAAATTATATATGAATGTGAAGGAGAACTGGGAAGGGGAATCACAAAAATATTTACTAGCCCGCAGGTTACAAAAAGCAGCAGTGTGAAAATCTCTCTGCCCGCAGGCAACGTGTTAGGCAGGCTGCCACTACACGAGCCTCTCCGCGTTGCCTCCCGCAGTCATGTCATGCATGACCTGGAGGAGACATAATGTCTAGAGGTGGAAGGTTTCGGTTTCCAGACAAGCTAAGCTCCAAGCATCTCCCGAGTAAAGAAACCGGCAGAATTGCTAATTTCTATGGGCTAGTTTTGCAACATGAACTCAGCTAACACCACCAAATTAACTTCATTATGATGACACAAAAGTGGGATTGGATCCAAGGTCCTGCAAGTCAAAGGACAATAGTTTTGCATAATATGCTACCCAGCTGCTCTTTCTGTTGCTGCTAAAGAACTAATGAAGTACTGATCAACTTACAGTTCATACTAAGCAGTGGTATTCTGTTATATTTTCTTATTATACTTGCACATTGGCATAAAGGTATAGGTCAAAGTAATCGTAAATGTACTCTTGGAATTGGGAATGGCATTACGTCTGCTTTTAAAAAGTTAAATAAAAACTCAGAACCTGGAATGCACTGAGATTTCAACAGAATTTAAAAGGAAGTTCAAAAACTGAAACTACATAAAATAAAAAAACCCAAGACAGACATTCACTTTTGCTGATTCTCAGTGGACATCACTAAGTTTGTTTCTTTAATGAGGTTCCCCCTTTCCAATTATCAGCCCGAATTGCTCATGCTGATGCGAACAGGCCTGGACTCTCAACGCAGGCTCACGCTGAGCGTGTGTTCAGATTCACGCCACGGCCGAGCACGCATACGGACAGCACATATGTTAAGACACATACGGACAGCAGAGCCCGGCCGGCTAAGAAAGGCATCTTCTGCCAGAAGCATTGCAATTGGGCGTGGGAACTTTTCTCTTTACATATTTACATGTTCCTATTCATGTTTACATATTCAGATTTTCCCTTACACTGCTTATCAATCACAGGCATGGTTAGCGGAGAGGAGGCTCTGACCTGCAGAACTCTCAATTCTGGGGAAAACAGTAATTACCTAACTGTTAAAATCCCGATTGCTTTAAACAGCAAGGAAAAGCAAAGCAGCAAACATCATCATCTTAGTTTTAAACAACCAATTTGATGTGGAAACCACTACAGACCTAAAGATGGCACCAGATGTGATTTTTATAGTTCCTTTCACAGCACTGAAGTACCCTTTAAGGATAAAACTAAACAAATCAAATGTTTATGAGCTTACAAAGACCCTACTGCTACAATTCACGAGCACATCATAAATTAAATGTACTATATCCCATATGGTAAGATAGAGTAGCAGCCTCATTTTACAGATGAAGTACTTTTAGGATCAAAAGTAAGATTAAATAATTCACCCAATGTCACATAAGAAATCCACACTGAGCATGGAAATGAACCCACATCTTTAGCCCTGAGCTAATATCTTAAAACACTTCAGTATCCTTTCTTGATTGTCCAAACTTCCCTGCATCTTGCCTCAGAAATATAAAAACAGTATTAGCAAATTCATGGCTCTTGGCTTGTTTTCTAACAGAAAACTGAGACATACATGTTGGAGCATTTTGTTGCGGAGAAGTAGAAATTTGCATCTCTGACTTAAACCTAGCCCTACATCCCCCCAAATGCATGAGAACTTGTTTCAGAGTACTGTTTCTCCTTCGATTGCTGTCCTTCAGTTTGGTGGAAGCACACTGCTGTTTTCTTCCTAAAGAAATGTGACCGTAAAGCTTCTGGGAATATTCATTTCTGTCTCCTGCATGACCCTGATGCAACGGCTCATGTTTTCGGCATCTGCTCACACCACACAGTTAGTTAATTTTGGCAGAAGAAGATAGTAATGGGAGTTACAGATAGAACAGAGGGAAATGATTTGGCAGCAATAACTGTGCAGTATGTGCGAAGTCATGCACTCAAGTAAATACGGTTCTTATCATACCTCACATATTTAAGGAAAAGTTTTCCCGAAGAGTTTAATTGGGTTGTAATTAAATTTTGATTAGAAAAATGGCACAGTATCAAATGGAAGCTCATGGCAAGATCTGAAGTAAATGCATGTTCAAGGATTTAACACTTCATTTAGGTTCAAGGGACTCACTGGCACACTTGTGCATCACCTTCTACGTGCAATATAATTGTGTTTGATACACAGCACAAAACTCAGACTTTCAGAGCTCTGCAGGATGAAATGGCTTTAATATATAATGGTTGCCTGGATGCACTCTCTATAATTACGTTTGCAGACAGCTGCCATTATAAATGTGGTTTTCACATGCTTATAGCTTTAACTCAAAACTTAAGGATAAAACATTCCACCAGTGCTGCCAACTTGCATAATTTTAATCACAAGACTCACAGTTCTTGTCATTTTTTCTATGTTCCATCTCCTGGAGTCATAGGAATAAAAAATAACACTATTTTCATAAAAAAAAAAGTTGTGAGTTAGAGTGAGGAAAGGAGGTCGGCAAACTTTTATCCACTGCAAGGAAGTATATGAAAATATGAACGACTGTATCTCAATCGTTCTACAACCAGAAAGCAAATAAAACTGTGTTATATTTCAATGTGTTATATTTCAATAAGATGGTATGAATTGGAAGGCTGTACTGAGTATGTTAGTATTACTTATCTGTACGTTTCCAAACTTCAAGAAAAATGACCAATTTCCTTGTTAGTTTATATTTTTGCACATGTAAGAAAAGAAAATCATTCTTTTTTTCTCATCACAAATACATTTGTAGATAACACACACACACACACACGCGCGCGCGCGCACATACACACACACACACACACACACACGGACAGACAAAGAGGTGATTTGTCAGGAAAACCAAACTGAGATTGCAGACAGAAAATATGTTAACATATTTAAAATAGATGAGCAAACATAATCAGAAAACTGAAGGTCTTGCACTTCTTTGGACAGATTCAAAGCTAAATACATTTAAAATAAACTCCTGTTATTCCACTAAGAGAATTTTAAATACAACTAACATTACAATATTACAATTACCAGACTTCAGAACTGCCTCTTCCGAAGGCAAACTTGGAAAATATTTATGCAGCCTGAATTGTGTTATTTTTCCATAATTTATATTGTAGAAAAACCTTGAATCCCCAGATGGATCGGGATATACACAAGTGAATTGCATTGACTTCAGAGACATGAGGAATAGAGGGGAAATATTTGCAGTTATAAGGCTGGAAAGATTCTCTGCCCTAAGCAGTTGACAAGGATGGGTGAAGTCAGTGGAATTTTTGCCATGTGGTGTGTCTGGAATATTTCTCTCCTTAAAAATATCTTGCTACAGAACCACCAACTTTTAATATAAAGCTTTCATACCTGCACTCATCTACAAATTTCTATAGTTATTGTATTCTGTTTTAAATGACAGCATGACTGGAGGCAAAATACCTGCCCTGCCTTTTTTTCTTTTACATGTAAAACCATAAGGATCAAATCATGAGAATTTTCTAGCTACTTTCAAGGGCTCCAGATAAAAGTACTGGCTCTGCAGTAAAATCAGAGAGTCAGCTGCTTGCTATCCAGAACCTGCCACAAAGGAATCCAACAAATTCTGAGCAAAACACCTAAATTATGGCTGGTTCCTTGTGGCTGAACTCTCTGGTACCTAATAAGGAATAAGAGTGGCTGAAACTCTTAAACTCTTCCTATACTGGAGCAGGCTGTAAATGTCTCTCCCGGTGGATACCATGGGATGAGTTCAGGCTACAGACTTGCTCACCACAAGGACACGATTATAGTGTCCTCTCTTCCACCCAGTGCCTGTTTTCATGAAACTCTTAAGAATTCAATGCCTGTGAGACTGCCACTGTCTTCCAAATCAGGCCGGGAAAGGATTAAGTTTAAAAATGATTGAGTTCCAAAGTGAATACGGAGAACACTGATGGTCTGACTGCACTCTTGCTTCATTTCTTTATGAACCTGGGCTTAAAATCCAATCAACAAACCAATGTCCCCCATCTACTCCTGTGTTTCGCAGAATATAGGAACTGCTTCAAGTGGAAAAATTAAATTCCTTGCCTCTTGCCTCTTCCTAACTCTAAAGATAAGGAATATGGTAAAGCTGAAATCTGCTTATGCACAGTAAAGCAGAAGAAAAAAGACCGGCTTCAGAATTCACTCAATAATTTTGATTCCTGTCACACTCCTCACCAAGTGCCCGAGAAGTAATGACTTTCTGGGACTCTTCACTATTCCTGCATGATTATAGCCTCACTCTGTCTCTTGCACTACATATATTTAACTATGCCAGTTACTGCCTTCTCCTTAACAGAGCACCTAAACTCTGCTAGTGCTTTACAGAAAAGTAGAAGACGAGCCCCAAGGAGTTCACAGTCAAGCAACCCACACTAATTAGAGGAAAAGCAGAAGACATCCACATAACCTATGCTGTGGGTCCTAAAGAGAAACTCCCTTTAGCTTGGGTACAGGAAAATGTCATTCTCAAGAACACCCTAGCCTGAAAAGATTCATCTTCGTCCTTATTGCTGTTTATCTGAGCAAAGCAGGGCTGAGATTCTCGCAGCCAGCAGGCCTATCCTTGCTGCCTGGATATCCCCTTAAAGAGGCCTGTCTTTGGTGCCCGCCTATCCCCTTACAAGCTCTTTTCTGACATACTCGACCAAGACAACCCCTACATCCTTTCTCCTGCATTATTTCCACGGGGTCCAGTGCCATACAGGGCCATACGCAGCCCGAGTCGCGCGGCCGGAGGTGCTGGGGAGCGCGGCTGCAGGCATCGCTGCCCCAAAGGGAGAGGTGCCCCTTGCAGGGGAAGCTGGCTCCCCAGCCCAGGCGCCAGCGCTTTCGGCTGTAAACCTGAACCGGCTACGACTGAAATACGTTTCTACACATAGCTACAAGCAGGAGAGAGAAAGCAGTTCAAGTCATGAGCTCAGAAAGAAGGGAAGCAGCCGTAGGAAAGTAGTAACTATCTAATGGTTAAAACGGGGGACCAAGTGTCAGCCCTGCTCAGTCCTGTGCTGAGATCTGCTGCAGCCTGTATCTGTGATTTTAGCCAGGAACCCAAAGGAAAATTCACCCCTGAGCAAATGTGCAGGTAGGATGTTTGCTGTTCTGTATTCACCGCTTTTTTGGATTTACACACTGCATCTGCTTTTTTAAAGTAACGTATTGCTTTCCCATAGTGCCAGCGGCACAAACACGCTCCGGTTCACGGCAGAGCTGGGGTCTTTCTGTGCTGTCAGACCACACTCGTGGGGACTCTGCAGCAGGATGGTCGAAGCTCTCACGTGCAGCTCAGTCCTCCGGGTCTCCACGTTATACCTCGAGCAGCTCTAAGGCAAAATGACCTCTCAATGGCTTGAAATGATGCAACTAAAAACGTATTGTTAAGAAAATGGGGGCGTAAGTCCTGGGAGGTTCAATTTGCTTTGCAGACCTTTACTGCTGGTGATGATGTGCAGTACAGAAAGAGCTCAGCCTGACTGTCTTGGGACACAGTGTGTTACTGAACGTGCTTAAAAACTAACAAATGCTGTATGGAAATCAGTTATGCAGAGTATACATCCCCAAATGCACTTCTTCCAGTCAGTTTTAAGGCCTGATCATTCAGCACTCGACTTCACTCAGCTACAAAATGGAGATAATAACCTCTTTGGGGAACATTACTTAATATTTGAAGTGTTTTAAGATCTTTAGCTGGAAACTCCCATAGAAAGTGAAACCAGTCATGTAATGTTTACAGTTACAAAGTCAATTTTGTGCTAATTTAAACTGGTAAGCTAATAGCTCTGTCAGGAGTTTATTCCTCAGTAAAACCCAGTCCACATGAAGAGTGAAGCCCAGAAGCTACTTAACTCCACTCACTAAGCTCAGGGCAGTGAAAAAAACATGTTTTCACAGACTTTTACTGGAGACGACATGCAATTATCAGAGATGGAAACTGGGTACGATAACTGTATTAACAGTCTTATGAGGAATACTGCAGTATTTAAATGAATGCACACAGTCACAATCTTAATTTTTTTCTTTCTTCAGGGAAAAAGCGTCTCTTATTCCAACAAGTCCAGAATTAACTTAGCATTACCAAAACGATCAAGGTGCATCTATTTATGCCTGGAATATTCTCTCTTGAGTTGCAGACGCTGGCCCATTTGGCTTATGAAAACTGGAGACGTTGCAGCAAAACATGGCTGCGTACAGTAAAATAAAGTTAGCAAAGGGAGGATAACGTTAGGAAAAAATGAAAATGAAGTCCAGTATTTTAAAATGATAGATTACCTCTCATGCATGATAAGACGGCAAAACATCAGAAATACCTGTTCGCAGGAGGCAACGCTAGGAGGAAGGGAAGGCCTCGGAGAGGGACACTATGACCATTTCATTCCTCTACTGCTCTTCTACAAGAAGCTACTTTAAAACTTCATTTCTCTGGCATCCACTGATTTTTAATTCTAAGGGCAGTTTTTTGTGGTCTGGTTTGAAGGTGCTGCACACAGAACACATTCATCTGTACGAATGAAGCCAGTTAACAAGCATCTTCTTGTACTGCCATGTTCTTAGTAGTCCTTTTACTTTCAATGCAGCATTTCCCAGGGATGCTGACAAATAAGTACCTAGTTTCCATCACTCAGTTGGATGTGCTGAGACAAACAGGCAGACTTTGAGACCTTACTTGACCACAAAAGCACAAAAGTGCACACAGATGCACATATACTCAAGCGCGCATGGAAAGAGCTCATGTTTGGGTCAGAGTGCATAACTGCATACATTTTTTCACGTACATTTTTGTGGGTACGTTTCAGGACTCAAGTCTGGAAATTTCCACTGCTTTATGCTGCATACTGTATTACTGCTATGATCTCAACTGTAGCCTGGAATTTGTACTGGTTACACTTGATGCTCTGCAATCTTAACAGACTTTTTGGTGACATCAGCTATCTTTTTTTCATCAAGCATTTGTTAGCTGGTAAACCTGAAACTCCCCCTGCGGTTTGCAGTCTAGACTTCAATTTACGCTAGGTTTATCAGCTGTTTTTTGGTGTCATCTTTACCAAAAAAAAAGTCTAAAATACTCTGCATTTATTTAAGCTCTACTTGTTTTAGTGTCACTTGTCTTCCAATTGATATTTTAAAATTGTTTGCCAAAGTAAATATCTTCTATACCAGTTACAACTTACTGTTAAAAACAAAAACTAAACTGGTTTAGCTCTTGTGGGAAAATCTCATGAGTGGCTCTTTCTGCCACCACCATTTTGAGCTCTTCAGACTCAAGAGGAAAGCCTTGACCTGGCAATTACATATGCATTTCCTCATGAGAACCTGTTGTGCCTGCCTGACAACCTGGCTCCACTTTCTATCTTTGATAGAAAAGGTGTGCTATGATGGAAAAAGTTGGCTGTAGAGACCTTCCTCAATTGCCAGAGTCTCTAAATCTGCCCATTTTATTAACTACAGGAATCATAAGTTGATGACAGAGAGCTTGGGTGGGAGCATGCCTCGGACTGACAGGCAGGAAAAGCTCAAACCACTTCTCCCAAGATAATGCGGTGCGGTAACTTCCTACATAAATCCACACAAGATTTGCAGAGCTCACTGGAAATTACGGTTGAATGAGCAAAAAACAATTATTTTCACAATAAAAAAGCCTTGAATTCTGATGTATTTTTAAAAATGCAAAAGCAGTGCCTTTTACTGAGAAGCCGTACTTTCTGAAAACCTCGGAGCTGTTGCAAGAGCTGCACAAACCATTTTAGCTTTGCTGTCGGGAAGGTAATTTGTACTGTGCAGAATGGAGGGTGCTCTGGCAGCACCGAGGAGTTGGATGTTGAGTGTACAGTCACATTGCCGGATACTTGAAAGAGCTTTTTTAATAGAGCTGTGCCGTGCGAAGGGACTAATAAAGTGCTGTCAGTTTGTGTCCAAATACTTTGCAGATAGCATACTGCCCAGCCGTTCCCCTCAGCACATACCGCTTTGCTAACATGCTGTACACAAAATCAATTTTTTAAATTATAAAAATAAAAAGAGAAAAAAATTGTAATGAAAGGAAGTCTGATAAGTGCCAATGTATTCAGCATTACCAAATCCAAGTTTAGAATAACGCAGGAAATAATGGGGCAGTGACTATGATCTAATTACAGTGGAATTCCCTTGGAAAAGAGTATGACTTGTGAATGTCACTTCATTCCAATCAGTGTTTTTGAAACACTAGGTGAGTTAACAGAACACTCCGATGGCGTGAGAAGATAAAACAAGATAATGATGTTAGAAAAAGCCTATAAAATTCATGACGGCCTTTAGTTTCTATTAAAAAGGCAACATTGCATTTTCTAAGATACAAACTCCCAGTCAAAACCAACACACACACAAAAGCCTAGCAAAACCCCAAAAGGTATATTCAAATATTGCAAAATAGGAAATTACAGATTAATTTTCCATTTGTTGAATTAGCCTTCAGCAGATCTCATACCTCTTAAGCTGCATTTTACCCCTTCTCTCCCTTCTACAGAAAAACTATCTGTCATCAGGAAATTCCTACGTGTTTAATTCAATTGTGTTTGGAAAAACACAATTTATTCTTAGCAAAGTAAGTACCATATAAGGTTAGATCAGAGCACAGCATGGAGAAAGCCTGATGAGTCTTATGCATCCAGACTTTTACATCCATTTAAAGGGCTGGATTTAAAGGCCTTAAAATAAGCCGCTGAAACTGCAGTGGTGGTTTCCCACACTACTTCACTGACCTCCATATCTGAGACCGGCAAAGTCCAACACAAATACTAGTAATACAGTTAGGATCTAAAACTGCAGCACTTGTGTTGGGATTTTCCACATTTTTAGACGCTGAACAGAACGGAGTGGAAGATGACAAAATCCCGTTTCTCAGAAGTCTGCATTCCCAAACAAGCCATAACAGATGATATGCTGCTAAACTAGGATTAGCAGACTCTACATAACAACAAGAAGCTGAAGGATTTTTCTCCATTCCAAGTCCTTCAGATAAGTATCTCCTTATCTTTTAAAAAAGCTGATTGTGGTAGTGCTATTCCCCATTTCTTCCCAGTAGCCTTGGTGGCAACCCGCGCACACCTATCCAACAGCAACCTGAACCTTCAGCTCACTGAGTGTGGATCTCAACCATCAAAGCCTTCTGCACAATGAGGAAGAGATGCACGAGGAGGAGAATTTACACCTCTCCTCCCGGTGCTAGGTTATTGTGCAACCAGGAGTGCAAAACATATGTACTAGCCGCAGCTGCATGGTACTGAACTGCTGGTTACCCAAGGAGCTGCTTAGTGAGTTCCTCAAGGCCTGGACATTAAGTCTGGATTTCTGCAGGCCCAGTTTAGAAGGGATGTAAGTGGTCTGGAATTAACTGAAAGTTACTGTCTGAATCTCAGTTTTTAATAGGACTTGACGAGGCAAAAAGACTTCTGTCAGTGGAAGAGCTTCAGGTCAGCAGTCCTGCCTTACCTTTAGCCACTGTTCCGCCTGCTCTTTGCTCTGCACTGCTAGAACCAGCGCATCCGCTCCTTGGTGAGCGATTTTCAGCTCATGCTTCTTCTTTTTGCTGTCTTTGGGAATGTATGTGATACTGCAGTCATTCAACAGCAGCTCCATCTGAGGTTGCTGGTCCTTGGAACTTTTATAACACTAAATAAATATAAGGAATGTAAGTTAAAGCTCACCTTTCTGAACTTTGGGGGGAAAGCTGTGATTACATACAAATGCTATTTTTAATTTTTAATACTTTCCATGCATCCCGTTATGACATACCACAAAGTTTAGCCAATGCTAACTTGCATTTCTCCTCCTCATCCCCTTTGTAGAGCAAAATTACTTCCAGACTGATATTAATAGAGGTTTTTTATTGCAGGACAGGTACAACATATGGAGGACATTAAGCTTCTCTATGTTATTCGTATGACTCAACCCTGATCTCGATCAGGCAGGCAGGGGATGGTTTGGGATAGCTGTTCACATAGAATATAGAATATGCTGGCACAATTAAAGATGCTAAAGTCCAGGAGCTCGTCCTGCCCTCTTGACCATGGTTTGAGCCCCATAGCAGGGCGGAGCATCTCGGGAATCATTTCCAGCAGTGACAGCCCAGTGCATCCAGGTGAACCTACGCCAGTGCCCACACACTGCAGGGGAGCAGACACAGACTCACTCAGCTCTTCTTTTTCTTGAGGTAACAAAATTTGTCACAGTGCAGAGAGGGGGAAGCTCATTCAATTCAATTAGGCACTGCAGAACCCAACCTCTGTGTTGGTTTACTCTTTAGGGTCCTGGCTAAATGCACTTGAACTGCCAGCTGTTTCTCCCTCAGTGGCAAGTACCGTCAATGAACAGCCATGTCATGTTGGATCCCTGATGACCTGCTCTATATTTGAATTGGTCATCTAAAGACGAGGGGTTTCACATAGCATTACTTGTCCTACAGACCTAGGGCCTGTTCCCATCTAATACCTCAGTATAGTTCAGTTCCCTAAACCTGTCGAGTGCCAGAACTGCAGAACGATGTTTAGTTGTGCAGGTGAACGTCCAGTTACTTTATACACATCTGCAAATGGGCTTTTGCTCAGATAAATAAGTAAGAAGGATAAAAAACGTATCTGCTATTAAAGAAGAGTGATTAGTAGATGCACACATAGAAGACTGAGCATAAATGTGAACAGAGAAAAGCACACGGACTTTTTGTGCCTGCTGGCAATATTCATTTCATGATGCAACATTCAAAAACACAGTAGCTGTTAAAAGTGTATTATAAACACTCCAACTTAGGCTAACCAAATACAGACACTCTCAACTAGTCTTTGTAAATGACTCATCATCTTTCTTTCCTCTCCAAGGCCCATTGACTCAAAATTCCTCTAGCTTAGTCACAAATTTAAAGAAGTTTGTAATAGGAAATAAAGTTAAGTTTCCAAGCTATGAAACCTTGTAAAAATACATCATTGTTCACTTGAAGAACGATTGCAGAGAACATGATTCCCTTTACATTAATTTAAAGATTGTACTTGAATAATTATACATTACTAAAACAAGAGTATGTATATATTAAATGACTTTTAAGTGAGAGGCAGTTCCCTATTAAAAGCTATTTCTATTGTCTACTTCTAATTAAAATATTTTGGTCCTAGAATGACAGCTGTATTTATTACATAGGCAATTACTATTCCCTAGGAAGATATATTTGTTTTACTTGCATATCTCATAAGTTACATCTGTAAGTCCCCCTTCAAACAATAAGCTAATCTTATGTAACCTGGTCTCTTGACTCCTATTGTGATTTTTATTTTCTTAATCCCCATTACAGAATTATACTGAAAGATAATCCCTATAAGGGGGGGAAAAACGCTTTTAAGACCACACATGTGGTTAAAGGAAAGGAAAACGGAAAAAATAACATTTTTATATAGAACAACAAACACAGTTCTAGAAGAAATATTGTATGACTTTTGAGAAAATCTGTTTCTCTCCTTCCTTCTTTCTTTACTTCAAACTGTTATCACAGGCTCCTGAAATTTGATATGATTCTGATTTATGGTGATATTACTGTAGACCAAGAACAATGGCATCATAGCAATATAGCACAAACCAAATCAGAATCAACATCTAAAAATCATCAGAAACCATGGAAAACTAGCAAATGAACTCCAACTATATTTTCAGAAACCTCTTACCTAGTTATCTCTATTTCATATGCTCTTATTTCCTATACAGCCATAAGCATACATACACTTGGAAAGCGAACACAGATAAGCTATCTTGGATCAGTGCAATAATGATGTTCTGCAGAAAATGGTCTATCACCTGTTAACCAGCTTTTAACATTTGGGATATTGCAATAATTATTAGTTACATAATTAGTTACAACACGTGTAAGCACCAGCTAGGAAGATAGGGAGTGTCTAAGACCACAACCGATTTATTGCTTTAAGCCTCAGGTGGCTTATAATGATATAGAAATGAATGTCTCTGTCCATTAGACTTGCTTTTCAAAAAACAAAACCACATCTATAAGCAGATAATTTACTAACTTACGGAGTCTTCTACTGGCGCCTCCAATCAAAAAAAAACACAACAGACTTACTGAAGGAACAAATACATCCACTTGTTTCTTTCCTTTCTATAATGCAGCTGTGCATCATGTGAATACTGCATCTGTAATTACTGCCGAACAGATGGCGAAGGTTTAGTTTGAAGTGTATACATTACAGCGGCATATGCTGCCAAGCGAATTCTCACTGTAACAAGGGACTTTTCTCTCTAACGGTCTGATCCAGCAGTTCATACACAAAGCTCCCTATGAGATCTTTGCCTCCGCAGGGAATGAATGATTGGCTTTACAGTTTCAGCAATTTTTTTTTCAAATGAAATATGTTAGAAGCTAATAGGCTAGACTTTCCTTCGGGTGTCAGGGAACTGCCTGAGTTTAAGTTTAAGTGCAATAAAAAACAAAGTCCTAAGTGGTTAAATGATACAGTTACCATTTCAGTGGTTGTCTGCTTCCTGGGTATTAGCAGAACATTTCAAAAAATAGTTTCTTGTAGAAATAAATACATCATCTAAAAGGTGCCAGGAAAATACAACTAGATAAAAGGAAAAATTACCAGTAGTTTGTTTTCTTTGATAACACACAGTAGTTTTGTCCATTGCCCAAATCGTTTCTTTCTAAGGAGGAAGGCACAGATTTTGGCATCCTTCACTAGATCCATAGAGGCCTCCTCAGAAGGCCACTGATGTCTCATTTTCTTCCCTTTTCCATCCTCCTCCTCTTCATCGTAGGATTCATAAGAGCTGCTCATAGCATCCGAGTCATAATCTTTAAGAAAAGCAAAAAAGTACCAAGTTAAAACATTTAGCCATGAAACACACTGAAACAACAATCTCAGCGGAGTTCGCTTTAAGTAAAGGCTTTTAAAGGTCAGCTGCAAACAAACGACTGTTTCAGCACTTGGTAATATCCAAATATTTTTTGTTGAAGAAAAGACACTATAAGACAAAAGCTGTTCCATTATGAAATTTTATAAAAGACCCATACCGACATCTTGGGAATTTTAATTAAACGAATGAATTGGGAGTAACTACACAGAATTTTAGGTACTGCTTTATCATCGTCAAAGTATGATTTGGCAGGTACCTTCATCTTCTGTGATTCTTTCACAGAAGAAAGATTTTAATTTTGCCCTACTGTTTAAGAAAAAATACATGTAGGCACAGAAATATAAATATTAGTACAGCATACTAAGAAACAAACACTGAAGATGACAGAGGTCACAAGAGTAAAGTACAGGGCACTATCTACCTATCATAACACTTCGTACAACTCTAAAATATAGCGCATGCAGTGGTACAAGTAATGTTGAACAGATTGTGCTGTTCCCTGACCTACAGACTCTGCTTCAGCTAAAAGCATTCTGCAAAAACATCTCTTGTTATGCGCTCAGCCTCAGCAGTTGAATCCTGCTCCAAGTTTGGTGATGTAACGGCAAGATTCCTTTCTAATTTAACAGTCTTTGGTCAGGCCTTTCATTTTCAATAAAACAGTCAGTTCTGTAGCAGTGACCTTAATTACAAAACTAATTTGTCATTATCACAGAACCTCTCTTCCACCATACACGTATACTTATTTGTTTATAGAGAGATAGATAGACAGACACACATACATGTATATAAAGCCCCTCAGATAATAACACTTGAAGGCATGCCCGTCATTCAGTGCATGCAAAACATCCTGGGAACACGTACTCCCATGGAGGAGAGCTGATATTTTTAATATTTTCAACAGTAATTGAAAATAGAAAATTTTCAATAGGAATATTTTCAATAGTCAAAATTTTGTCTGAACACTTCAAGGAGACTTTGACATATTTTTAGGTCAGAAAAATGGAAGAAAATCTCTTGCTTGCTTTAGCTTAGGCACTTAGGGCACAGTTTGGGATATGGGAAGGAGATCTGGAGAAACTGGGAAGAGGACAAGACAGTGGATGGCTGGAGAGCTCATTCTGTATCAGCACCTACCCAAGCAGAATCAGAAGACAATACACGCAAATGTTGACATCCCCAAACCAAGATTACACCCAATTTGTGCCTTTACAAACATGTTGTGTAATTTTTTATCTTTATTACAAAGTGAAATTAAAATAAAATTTCAAGATCTTGACTTTTTTTTGTGGAACCAAACTGCTGTCTTCTGATTGGGTCAACTATGGAGTGTTTGGCTCAGGGGCAGCTCCATGCAGGCTAGTGGTAAAAGCCACAAATGATTATCAATGGGGAAAAAAAGGGAAAATGGGAACTTTTTTTCATTCATTTTAGAAAAAACAATAAAAAGATGGGAAAAATTGGGGTAGACCATTAACCTGACAGCTATTCTACAGGTTAGGGTTTATTTTTCCATGCTTGTTTAAAAGAATGTGCAAGATCTGGTAGAACTCGCCATTTCATCTGTCTCTTACGACTTCCTCCCTGCGAAGCAGGAAAAAAGCCTAAACAAAAAACCACCAAAACCAAAATCAAAACAAAACAACTTCCCCCTGCTCCAGAGAGGCTGTCCATAAACTTTCACACAGATACATCTGGAAATGTTTGGGAGTTCACTGACCAATCTCAAATACACAGTAGCATGCCAACCTGTTTGAAGTGGAGGCAGAACGATTAATGTGGCCAAGTTACCAAACACAAAAGTGCAAGATCTAGTCACTAAATCAGCATTTTTCAAGATGGCCCTCTCTCAAAGACAGAGGCTAAGGGAAAAGCTGCCATAACCTAAAGTTGCTGTCTCTTTGGCAACTAATGGTTTTTCACGTAAAGTGCTTCATCTTTAACGCCACCCTCTCCCTTTTAAAAAAAGCAATACTTTGGTGTCCGTAACATTATCTTCCTCGGCCCTTCTTCGAATGTAATAGTGCTCTTTGTTGCAGCTAAGGCATTATCACAATGTTCATTTTAACATTCACTCCCTTTGTACAATCTTTCACATCATTTGTGATTTTGCTCTAGCACTGGCAGTAAGATTGCTTTGAAACTTAAAAATTTTGGACAACCAGTAAGAAAAAGAAAAGGAGATAAGAAATCACTACTCAAATAGTGAGGTAAGGCAATACTATTCTGATACCATTTTTCCATTTAACTGCCAGTTAAATTTTTCCTCCAAAATTCAGAAACCATCTTTTCAGTGTAAGAGTCTCTGGGGTTCATTTTCATTACATCAACTTGAAATAAGTGCGTACAGAAAGGTCATTCCTCATACACAGTCGTCATTAAGAGCCTTGAGCTGGGGAAGGCTTGCCTGCATAACAAAATCAAAGACCTTTTTCTGTCTGAAGACGGCCTACCAAATGTGCCTTCTCCATCTGCATTTTTAAGCGCATCTGTCAAAAGGACCTACAAGGTAATAATGAATCTGTTTCCACTGTTGTAGCAGATCATTTTTCTTTCCTTTTTAGGACATGGTTTAACTTTCTCCTACTGCAGGAAAAAAGGTTTCACCTTGAATGCAATTATCAGTCACCTCTACCATATAAAAGAACTCCTTTCTTCTTAGCTCAAACCTCATGCAACAATCTCATTTCCTTTTCAGCAAGGTTAGCAGGTTCAACCATTGTTTTTGATTCGCAACATTCAATCTTATAAAATTTTTTTACTGTAAGTTTTATCAGTTTCTCAAAAATTAGTTGCAGTAAGTGATGACTGAGACTTTGAAGCAGAGACTGAAAACCTGCACCTTAATAAGTACTTCTCATGTGGCTCACCAGTAGTTCAAGGGCAGATTTCAATTTGGGATAAATTGTATGAGCAGGAGTGGGACTCTGCTGGCACAGCAGTTGCAGAATTATCCAAATCTCTGTTTATAGGAGAAGAAAAGCCAACAGGCACTTCTGAGACTGACATTTCTGGACTCCCATCCCAGCGCAGCGTTAAGGGGATCTCTGGGGAGTCACTGCCATCCCCTGCCTAGGGACCCCTCCCCGTGTTCCTCTTTTCCTTGGGTCTCGTGGCTCTTGGCCAGAATAAGTTTGGTGTGTGGCTCACATGAAGACAGTCACCCACCCCTGCCTACCCACACCATCTGGCCTGCAGCCTTTTTTGTTCTTTGCCACATCCTGTTTCTATTTTTTGTTTCTCCAAACTATCGTATGATGACCAAACAGCTTTTCAGCTCTGAGACAGAAACTAGCTTCTGTTCACTTTGTAAAGTGACTAATTTATTTTAACCAGAAATACCACAGGCATTCCAGCATCCACACATAATCAATGTTTATCAGGTATTGAGAAAGATACCCCGAGAAATCCAGCATGCATGGATCACTTCAAAGGGTTTTGAAGTAGTACTACTTTCCCACTGGAAAACAGTAAATCACCTATTAGAAGATGTTAAATTGTGAAAGACTAAACGATGAAAAGGTAAGTTGTGTAACGGCTGCTAGTGACTAAATCCTGTCATCTTTCACTTTCTCATCACAACAGGTAATGAAATAGGCTGAACATGAAATCATAGGCAGGACGTAAAAACATCATGTGCATACATTCAAATCAACACACTCTTTGAGTCTCACGGAGGGGAGGGAAGAGAGGGATAACAGAGCATTCACAGTGATCAAGAATTGGAGGGGGAAAATGACAGACTCTTGCAGTGTCTCTCCAAAAGAAAGAGGTTTTATTAGGTCTACTTAAGTCTCAGTGATTTAGGATGCACTGACACATGCTACAGTGCTGCTGTATGTATCTACATCTTTTGCATCATCTTCTGCATTTTTTGTTGTTTAAGCTTCTTCTGACATCGGCTTTTCATGATTATCTGAATGAAAATTTCCTAACATGAAAGAGTGATTACTGCAGTAGACTTTCACATTATTTGCAATAGTGTATTCCAAAGATTAGCCTATAACAATTTAGGCATATTGTACAGATCAGTACTTTCATAAATGAGGAAGAGAGTTACCAGTCAAGGCATATGCAGTCTCATTTTCACCTACATTCAAATGTTTACAAATAGAGTACAGGGACATTGGCAGGTTTTAGGTATTTCACCTTCACAAACTATAGTCCTCTGTAACCCTCTTCCACTCCCATTCCCCTTAACAGGTAGAACATATGGGATGTGAGCCTGATTGATTGCTATTAATGATGTTAGAAAAAAATTCTGTAGGAATATTTACTCAAGACAGTTATATTTATCTCAACAGCTATTTAACAGTTTACTACTGCAGATCCTACACTTTAAGAATTTCTTTGTTAAGACCTTCTGAATCTCAGTCAGTCTGAAAAACTGTAGGTTCCATCTTTAGCTCACCCAGCGCTCTGATGGTTTGTTTTAATTGCCTATATTCATATTAATCCAAATCCCACAGAACAACACACTGGATTTAGTGGAAGTTTTGCTTGTGCGGAGACCTATTATGAATAGTATACTGAATTTTAAAGCAACTTTATTATAGATGAAGAGAGGATGACTTTTAATATGTAGTAAAAGAGTACAGGACTAAAATATGGCAAAATCACGGCAAGATAGATTATGAGTTTCATTTAAAAAGTTGTATATGTATGGGTATATATACATATATATATTTAAATTATGGAATTATTAATGAACTTTTAAGTCTGATATTCTAAATATTTTTGTGGTTTTGGATGGCTCAGTAAAATAAAAGATCGGTTTCATATTTTGTTATGTATTTTTCTCCTAGGAAATCCTTTAGCAGTACTATTAATATTTTCCTGCCTGTGCACAGCTCTTGTTTAATGACCAAACACAAACCAGCAGTTCAACAGATTACAGGGTGTAGCAGGACCACCCTGCAGCATTTCAAGGGAGGAAATGAAGACAGGAATGATTCTGCTGCTTTGCAAAACTGCATGTTCCTTCATTTATTTTACATTATATGAAACTCTTTCTTACTTTGAATTTGCTAGGTATATTAAGAGCTGCCAGATACACCAATTTGTTTTTATTTTTAGAGCTAATGCACAATGATAAAACAATTTTCCCTGACATACAATGTACAAATTTAAAATTTAATGTTCTAAAGTGTCTCTCATGCATGTGTTTTCAGAACAGAGATTTTATATTATTCTTTCATTCTGGTTCAAATAATAAAAGTGTCTATAAAAAGCGGGCAGATATCCCTTTCATCTTTGGGTCACAAAAAATAACTATCAGTGATAAATGAAACATACACAAGTGATAAATGAGACATACACAAGTAATAAATTACCTCAGCCAATAAAAAAGAGTAACAAATAGGAAAATGTTTGCAATTTTTTAGTACATAGTGTCCTATTCACTGACCCTGTGTAAATGCTCACAGCAGTCATTTCATCATTCCATCAGCGTGCTCTCATCCTATTGCCACTTAAAGTACAATCAGTCTCTGGCTAAGTACTTGGACATGATAAAGACCATTTGCGTGTTGCAGTAAGAAGTTCTGGTGACTGGTTAGTAGGCAGCCCCTTGCCTTTTGCACTGAGTCGTTAAAATAACAGTCATGTGCATCAAACACAGATTGGGGCATTCAGTATGAATGATTAATCTCTGCCTATAATATGTCATCAGAAATGCTGCAAATCACATCTTTTTTATTCTTCACTTTAGAAAAGGTGGTGTCTTTTTTCTTTAGATTTTTATCTGTCTACTTTAACAATTAATTCAGTGCAATAGGAAGTTATCATTAGGTCTGCAGATGAGCACCAAATGTTGAGGCCTCTATATTTACACTATCTGCAATTTGAAGGGGTTTTAACGTTGGACTATACTTAACTCTGAAGCCCTGGTCCAAATATCCCCACCGTGCTCACAGTTCAAAGCTGTCCAAAGGCCCAGTTGCTGATTTTGGACCTTCTGTCCGCAGTGGGGGCTGCAGCATGTTTGATGCACACCTAAGGTGGAGCTCTGCATTTAGTTTCCTCAAAAAGGAACCTGGTTTGTGCACACTGAAACATCTCTACAAACCAAACCAATATATGGCCAGTGAGGACAACTGCAAATGGCCAAAAATGGTCAAAACCACACTTACTGCACATCGCCAAAGCACTGACAGAGATGTAGCCTTTGAATGCTAAACATATTGAAGGACATTGGAATTACTAGTTGCTCAGAAACAGACCCGGACATATACTACTCACTGGAAGTGATATACTCAGGAGCCTTTCCAGGACTAAGTGGCACTGCCTCTTCATAATAGCCTTCTGGAAGGGATGATGTTGGTAGCGGTGGAGGCCCATTATCTGGTGGCTAAATAAAGAAAAATGGAAAATAAAAAAACCCAAAGGTGATTAAAGACCAACAAGGTGCTGAAGCAAACATGCTCACAACATCTGCTCATGATCAGTGCTGATGTTACCAGCCTTATAACCTAAATGGCTTCTATGGTGACTATTTCTTATGTTAACTATATCTAAAGGTAAGGCTCTTGAGGGGTGAATTGGTCCCTTGAGTAAGAAATATTCTGCAGGACAGCAGCTTTTAGAAACAAGTCTAAACCTCAAGCTCCTCACCTGTTGCTATAATTAAGCAACAACACCAAGTAGATGCTGAGATGTGCAAAGCAATAAAGTGATTTAATTATGCTTCATACCATAATGAGACATCTTGAAATGTATCATTATTGTCAAGTCTTTTCCCTCCGCTGATGATAATGAAAAAGAACCGCACTGTGTGTACTCCAGCTGAGCGCTTTGGGGATATATGAACAGGCGAATCATACTTGCCACTGCTAAAGATGGCAAAATCAAGACAGCAATTACATTAAAAGAAGTCCTTTCTTCAACAGCAATAAGTGGTAAAAATGTTGGAAACATAAAGTTCTCTATTTAAGAACTAGAAATTTAAAGGATCTATGTAGGAAAGAGATTTCTACGTACAGGCCATTTTACAGTATTGAGGCTTATTTATTAGTATTTACATATGCAATAATTTCTATTACACCAGTAAACAAATAGGAACTCCCTTAACAAAAGTCAAAGGGCCTGGGTTGACAGAGATTAAGGATAGATAACGTAGCCCACATTTTAGTGATGCATTTTGCTTTTCAGTGGCAGATCAATTCTTAAAATCAATACTAATTTTTAAAAAGTTAATTTTACATAGTGAAATCTGAGCTAGTTCAGAACATCACGAAACTATTATATGATAGAGAAAATATTTCAAATACCAGGTCAAATTTTAAAATGCTTCTTTTCTAAATATAAATCTGTTTTAAATCTAAAACTGACTGCTGGTATGTTGATATAGTAACAAAGTAAATTTAGTTCTGTATGACTTCTACCATATGACTTTACTGTTCTATTTCCTTGACAAGTACCAAAACAACTGCATTTTATAGAACTCATTCATATTTGCCACGGGGTTTTAGTTCCATAGTTTCATACTGAAGGAAACACTTAAGCCTTTTTCCAACATCAGTGCTTTATTGTATGATGACAAAAAAATATAACTTGCAAGCAGAGCCTCATTTCTGCAGCAACAGTTTTCAACACATCTTTCTCTTTTTCACAAACGGAGGTAAATGTAACTGAGTCTTTGTCTCCATTGGACTCATCCAGTCTAAATTCAGAGGCACCTAAAGAAGAAATTAGTCAGGGTGGGCTTTGCTTATGGCCACAGACAGGCACTTCCGGAGCACCGTTCAGATCGAAGGAGGGCTGAGGAGCCTAAGAGAGGCAGAAAGCCTTTTTCCACCTAACACAGATGAAGTCTGTAAACAGGAAGGGTTAGAGATCTGTGTGCGGTCGCAGAGCCATGATCTCATTGCGGTTACAGAGACATGGTGGGATAGTTCACATGACTGGAATGCTGTCATGAACGGCTACATGCTTTTTAGGAGAGACAGGCCAGGAAGGCGAGGTGGTGGAGTTGCTCTTTATGTGAGGGAGCAACTAGAATGTATGGAGCCCTGCCTCGGGGTGGATGAAGAGCAAGTTGAGAGCCTATGGGTAAGGATTAAAGGGCAGGCTAACATGGGTGACACTGCTGTAGGAGTTTACTACAGGCCACCTGATCAGGAGGAAGTTGTCGATGAGGCCTTCTACAGGCAGCTGGAAGTAGCCTCACGATCCAGGCCCTAGTTCTCATGGGAGACTTCAACCACCCTGACATCTGCTGGGAAGACAGCACAGCTAGGCACAAACAGTCAAAGAGGTTCCTGCAAAGCATTGATGATAATTTCTTGGCCCAGGTGATGGAGAAACCAATAAGGAGAGGTGCATTGCTAGACCTTGTACTAACAAACAAAGAAGGTCTAGTTGGAGAGGTGAATGTTGGGGTCAACCTTGGCTGCAGTGACCTTGAGGTGGTGGAGTTCAGGATCCTACGAGGAGGGAGCAGGACAATAAGTAGGATCACAACCCTGGACTTCAGGAGAGCTAACTTTGGCCTCTTGAGGGACCTACTTAGGGGAATCTCATGGGGTAGGGCCCTAGAAGGAAGGGAGATACAGAAGAGCTGGTTAATGTTCAAACATCACTTCCTCCAGGCTCAAGATCGGTGCATCCCTCTGAGGAAGAAGTCCAGCAAAGCGGTCAGTAGACCTGCATGGATGAGCAAGGAACTCCTGGCAAAAACAGTTTCCTGGAAGGAAGTGTACAGAATGGGGAAAAGGGGACAGGCCACTTGGGAGGAATACA